AGAGAGAGAGAGAGAGAGAGAGAGAGAGAGAGAGAGAGAGAGAGAGAGAGTTTGCATCGGTCGGTTGACTCTGCCATTCATGCATCACCTGTCGCGTTTGTTTTCTTGAGCGAAGCGGCAACATATCATCTAGTACCAGATAACTGGAGAGGGAGAGAGAGAGAGAGAGAGAGAGAGAGAGAGAGAGAGAGAGAGAGAGAGAGAGAGAGAGAGAGAGTTTGCATCGGTCGGTTGACTCTGCCATTCATGCATCACCTGTCGTGTTTGTTTTCTCGAGCGAAGTGGCAACATATCATCTAGTACCAGATAACTGGTTCTGGGTTGAAGTCCCAAAACTGGTGCTGTCGTTCTGATGCTCTTTGTTCTGATCTGAACTGTGGACAGAGTGCCCTAACTAACAGGCTAAGTTCACCAGTACATGTTGCTGGGTTTGGTTTCCGTGGGCTCCTGGGTTTTGGAGGGTCTGCACTGACCATCATCTGACTGTTATCATTTTCCTCTAGCACATGTTCGGCTCAGATTCCATGAAGAAGAACAATAGCAAGGGTACTCCAGTGTACCATTGCTTCAATGCAGTGACGGCCGTAAGGCTTTTTCCCTACAGTGTGCATTCGTCAGTCTGCAGACACAATCGTTTTGCTGTGCGGTGAGTGTGAGGGAATGAGTATGCAGGGTGGCTTAGGGCTTCCTTGCACTAGGAATTTATTGGATGTGTAGAGCTCAAATTACGTCCGCATTCTGTGAAAATAGTCCTATGGCCTTTTTTCTTCGGACGCCAAACTGGAATGCATGTTGGGTTGGGATCCAAATGTGAAAGCTTTGGCGCCTTTTTGACAATTGGATTTGGAATATCGAAGGCCTTTTTGACAAGTCTAGGTATAAAAAGGACATCATCCAGAGAGGACACTAAGGGAAACTGTTCGTTTGATGTGAGTTTTCGCAGGTAAATGCTAGGGATGCGCAGGGACGAACTCCTCTTCATCATTGCATTCCGTGTGGAAACAACACATGCGCTAAGCTACTACTCTCACGGTGCGTTGTGCTCTCTCATGCACCTAGGCCTACTGCCGCACATTGGTCTTGCTATTGTTCTTCTTCTGGTACTTGTTAAGTGTCTTTTCGTTTTTTCAAGCTTGAGGCGAAAGCAACACATCTTGTTATCTGCTTCTAGCTCTCTGCTTCCTCTGCCCCTGCAAAATCTTTTGTCTGAGAGATTCTCTTTCTCTTGTGGTGGGCAACCCTTGAAAAAATTACCCTTCTGTTTGATCAGAGCACAAGCACACCTTGTTCCAGTCGAGCAGTTTTGGTCCTTGTTCTGCTCCTTGTGTTTGGAGTTTGAAAATTCTGTACCGTTCTTGTTTTCAGGGAGGGAGAGGGGGCGGGGGGGTGGGGGAAAGGAGCGGAGCGATGAGACTGAAAGGAAGTGGACAGCCACTGACTACGTTTCTCTACTTTCAATTCTAATTGGC